CTGGAGGAGCTCCCTGATGATGGAGTTCCCTTTTCCAGGTGCCTGGGAAGGAATTTGATGCTCAGATCCAGCAGGGACAGGAGCTGTCAGGTGGACAGGGAAGGTCTGGCTGAGCAATGACAGAAATGCAATTTCCTGCAAGCAGAAATTCCCACACTGACAGCTCCTGACTGGAGAAATTCCTTCCAGGCATTAATCCCTGGCTGTTCCCTGCTCCCATCCCAGACATCATCACATCCCTGGGGAGGAGGGAGCTCACACTTCAATCAAGCAATGAAAGCTCATTTTAAGTGAGACCCAACCCACTGCCAACCTCCAAGGCAGCATTTGCTCCCTGAGTGTCTGGGCCAGCACTCCAAGGTGGATCAAGGCTTTACACCAAAGGTCTGGGCTGGATCCCAGCCCCCATTCCCGAAAATCCTGCTGCACCAACACTCCCACGTGGCTTGAACAAGCACCTGTTGGCTCCATTTCTCTTCTCCCTCGTGCCAAGCTGGTCCATACATTTCTCCTTCCATTCTGGCTGCTCTGATCCACGAAAATCAGGTTCCTGCCCATGGCCAATTATGAAATTATTTCAAGATTTTAGCCCATGCTTTGAATTAATTTCACATTTTCAGAGAGACACAGACAAGAAAGAGGTATTCACATGGTCCATGCTGAATTCCACCCTGCAGCTTCTGGAATATCCTGGGTTAAGCCTGAAGTCTTTCCACAGAATCATTAAGATTGGAAAAGCCCTCTAAGACCATAATGGTCCATGCTGAATTCCACCCTGCAGCTTCTGGAATATCCTGGGTTAAGCCTGAAGTCTTTCCACAGAATCATTAAGATTGGAAAAGCCCTCTAAAACCATCAAACCCAAAAATGAATCCACCACCATCATCTTCATTGTCAAACCACGTCCCCAAATGCCACTTCCACACTTTTTGAACACTTCCAGGAGGTTCCCAGCTGCTTTCAAACACAGACCTGAGGCTTTTCCACCCTTCCCAGGGTGAGCTCAGGGCTCTGGGTGCTCTCTGCTGCCTTCCAGGGTCACTCCCTGGGCAGCCGAGGTGGGACAGCTCCGAGGGCAGCAGGAGCACCATGCCCACCTCCAGAGGCTCAGCACAGCCTGGAGGATCAGCAGCCCAAGGAAGAACACAAATGTAACTTCCTGAAGCACTGGAAATGCGGGAGTCCAAGTGTCTGGACAGATGTGTGATTCCTTGGGTTCCCCCCTACAGGGATGGGATAACCACCATCCATCTGTCTCAGCACAGGCAGGAATGTTCCAGGGATGAAAAAATAAAATCCAGCACATCCTTCCCCATCCAGAAAGCTCCTGCAGAAATCCTGGAAGCTGCAGGGATGAGCTTTTAGCAGCACTGCCTGCACTAAGCCTTGTGGGCAGCAAAATTCCTTGGGCAATTCCATCGCTCCCTCCTTGCCCAGCCTGTCACGGCAGAGTCTGCCTGAGCCACCTCCCCTCCTGCCAGTGTTTCTCTAATTGACTCCAGAATTTGCAGATATTCTTCCCAGCCAATCCCTCCTATTGATTGTAATTATCCTCGGAGAGGCAATGGGAGGAATATTAAAGCCATTAAGGCTGATTTGGATTTGATTCGAGCCATTAGAGACACAGCAAGCGGAGCCTCGCCGCTTCCCCGGCACCTCCACGGCTCCTGAGGGCCATAAATCAGCCCGTGGCACATTTGGTACCACTTTGGATGCAGCCAGGAGTTGAGGAAAGGAGGAAAAATGGGAAAAAAAATGGGAGGGGGTGGCTTCCTGCAGCTGGGTGAGGAGATTGAGCCAAGCATCTCCATAGCGAACCTTCTGAGCTCCAGGTGCCTTCAGGAAAGAGGTTTCTCCTCTTAGGTGGAGTCCAGAAAACTCCAGAGTCACCTGACACAGCCCACCAGGCTTGGAGGGACCTCATCCACTCAATCCAGCTCCAAAACCAGTCATTTAATCCTTTTTGGGGCAGGAATATTCTCCATTTCTGGCCCCAGGGAGCACTGCAGTCAGCCTGCCCGTGGACGTGGGATATCCAGGATGGACCCATCCAGGGCCATCCCACTGCTCCGGGCCTCTGCTCCTCTCAGCAGAGGGGCTGCCAGGGCCAAGCAGAAGCTGCCGAAGCCTTCCCAAATTTCCTGGTTGGAGTTTTCAGGCACCCCCAGGCTGTCTGCAGCCTTGGCCTCACACCCCGCTGGGAGCTGAACAGCAACCCTGATACCAGCACTGATATCATTAACATTCCCTTTCCTGCCCACTGATATCATTAACATTCCCTTTCCAGCCTTTCCAGCAACTCAGGGCACATCTGTGCAGCCAAGGATGTCACCAAAGGTCCCTCCTCAATTAAAGGTTCCATTCAGTGCAGCTCTCCCAGCCCTCCTTGCATCCAGCCCAGACCCTCCTGCCCGGGTGGGGCTGCCTCAGGAGTGGGAATTTCCTTCTCCATGGTCAGTGTCCCTCAGCACAGCCCTTGTGACACGGTGTTTTTTGTTTGGACTTAGAGGTTTATTTGTTTTTATTTATGTTACAGTTTTAGAAGTTGTGAGTGTTACAGTATTCTATTTGAATAAGGTAAAAAAATGGTGATGTGTTTCTTTTTATAAGGTTTTTTAAGGATAAATTGTTTCATTAAGAAATTATGTTTCAATTATTTTTATCTTTAACTTAACTAATTATTTGTGTTTTGTAATGTGGATTTTTTATTTAATTACATAACATTACTTAACCTTATGAAGAAGAAGGATAAGAAGGACTAGTTTCTGTTTTAAAATTTTTATCTGTTTTTATATATATTACTATATTTTAAAACTTTAAACTTCAAGTTTTGTACTATGTGGTATTATATACTTTTATATAAATTACACATTTAACTATTAAACTACACATTTGTAATCATTAACATTAAACTGCACATTTATTATCTTAGTTTTATTGTTTTTATATATTATATTATTATATATTATATTATTTATATATTATATGTTATTATATATTTATAGAGTTTTTTTAATATATTTACTTTTGGAACTTATTATATTGATATATTTAATAGAGATATCCTTATTTAATTTTATTGATATATTTAATTGTGGATTTTATTATATGCATATATTTAATAAATATATATCTATATTTTTATTTATATATTTAATTTTGGAAATTTTTTCTGGGTCAGTGTGGCCTTGCAAGGGCCCAGCACAGCCCTGGGAATTAGCAGAGATCCCTGAATCCAGGTTGGGATGCTCAGCCAGGGCCAGGGAGGAGGGATGGAGCAGGCAGGGATCCCAGGGAGAGGAGCAGAGCCCAGGGAGCAGCACCTGCCCCTGAAGGGTCACTGCTGTCCCCTGGGGCATGGAAAACCCCAAGAAAACCAGGTCCTGACAGCAGAAAAACCTCAATTTTAATCATCTTAATAAATCATCTTAATAAAATCATCTCCCTCAAACATCTCTCTGGATTCCTGGGAGCAGCAAGCAGCCTAGGAGACCCTTCCAGCCCGAGCTGCTTCCACACCCACCCCGATTCCCTGTCCCAGCCAGGCCTGTCCCACTGGAATCCCCCTTTTCCTGGGGTTTCCAGCAGGCAGAAGGAGCAATCCAGACCATCTCCCTGCTTTTGCTCCCTGGCTGCCTCCTCTCCAGCACTGCCATGTTTACAAACACTTGGGCTTCCAGCAGGGCAAGGCAGGGGCTCGTTATAAACACTGAACCGCAGGGAAATGTCAGGGGCGGGAAAACAAAAATAAAACCAGGGATTTTCACGTCAGTCTGGCTCAGCCTGGGAGGTTTTGGGGACATGCAGCTCGTGGGACACGGCCAGGGAGGGACAGGAGGTGCCTTGGGGACATCAAACAGCCAGGAGGGGAAATGTCCCTTCCCAGCAGCCCTTCCCTTTGATCCCGGGGAGGAAGGAGCAGAGCTGAACACCTCTTCCTCCTCCTCACCCCTGGGAGCCAAGGGAAGGGAATCCTGGAGCAAAGGTGCCTCCAGGTCAGCTGGGGAGCTGAGCAAAGTCTCTCCAGCGCCACAAACACTGGGAAAGTCACATCTGCAGGGTGGCAAACTCCAGCTCCTGGGAGGGAAGAGAGCTGGAGCTCAGTCCCAGCCCTGGGAGATGCTCTGCATGCCCTGGGCTCCCCTGGGTGTCCATCGAGGCTGTTCCAGCCCTGGATCTGCACAGCAAAGCTCCCAGCCCAGCTCTGCACGGGACAAGTCAGGGCGTGAGGCAGCCTGAGTTCCTTCCAGGGTCTCTGTGCCTGCAGGAGGGAACGGGAGGATGGAGGAGGAAAACCCTGACAGGGGTAGAATTCCTTAGGTGACAGCTCACCTGGTTAAGCTCATGCCTGGAGGCAAAGAGTTTCCAGCAGTGCCAGCAGAGCTGACCAGATAGTGCTGGAGAAATCAGCTCCCAAACCACAAAAATGAGGTGGTTTTTTTTCTTTTCTTTTTTTTTTTTTCTTTTTTCCTTTTTTCCAGGCTGAGTTGCTGCACAAATGACTGTAATTAAAGCTGTTACCTGTCAGTTCCTCAAGGCACTGAGGCTCCGGTGTTCAGGCTTTGGAAAAAAGCATCCCTGCATGGCAGCAGTCCCACTCATCCCTCAGCTTACTCATCCTGCCCAGCACCCACCCAGATTTGTCACCAATTAGTTGTAATTCAAGGATTCAGGGGGAAATCCCCACCTCCCTGAGCGAGGTGACTTCACAGGAAGTTAGGGCATGGAATGGCTTTTAAACAACAAAAAAAATCATGGAAAAAAATCATGTGTGCCAGAGGCAAGGCTACGGGGCACGGCTGGTGAGGCACATGGCGTTCCTCAGGCATCCAAAGGCTCCTGCAGAGCTTCCAGAGAGGTTCGGTGGATTCCTTTGGAATTCATGCATTATGGAAGAGCCTCAGCCCTGCCGTGTCACCGGTGGCTGCAGTGCTCCTTCCTCTCTCATCACTGCAGCTCAGAAGTTCTGTGCAATTCCCAAATCTCCCTGAATAATGGGATCAGGCCCCGATTTTACAGGGGTTTCTGTAAAACGGCACCGGGGGTTCATTGTGGCTGGCAGCAGGGCCTTGGGAAGGTTCTTTCCCTCAGGAAATGAGAGCACCCAGCGCCAGCCTGGCACCGCTCCCAGCCTGGGAAAAGCTGATATTCCTTGGCCTCTCCAAGGGACCCAGCTCTGAGACAGCCTGGTGGTGGCACCAGGCTCCTGCCGGGGACACCAGCCCCTGCCACATGCCTGGAGCTGCAGGGAACCAGCCCCACCAGTGCCCAAGGATCTCCAGGAAAGTTGGAGAATCGTGGAATGGTTTGGGATGGAAGGGACCTTAAAACTCATCTCATTCCCTGCCATGGCAGGGACTCTTTCCACTGTCCCACGGGACTCCAAGCCCTGTCCAACCTGGCCTTGGACACTGCCAGGGATCCAGGGGCAGCCCCAGCTGCTCTGGGCACCTGTGCCAGGGCCTGCCCACCCTGCCAGGGAACAAATCCTTCCCAAAATCCAATCTAAATCCACCATCCTGCAGCTTGAAGCCATATATATATTTGTGTCCTGTCCCTCCATCCCTTGTCCCCAGACCCTCTCCAGCTCTCCTGGAGCCCCTTCAGGCTCTGAGCTCTCCCTGGATCCTCCTCCTCTCCAGGTGAGCACCCCCAGCTCTCCCAGCCTGGCTTCAGGGCTCCAACCCTGGAGCATCTCCATGGCCTCCTCTGGCCTCTCTCCAGCAGCTCCACATCCTCCCGCTGGATCCGCCAGCCCCGGCAGCATCCCTCCGGGCGGGATCCCGAAGCACCCCCCCGCCCCGCGCCCCATCCGCGCCCCCAGAGCGCTCCCCACTCACCGAGGCGGGGCTGGCCCGCGCCTTGCGCTCCTGCTCCCGGCACTGCAGCCCGGCCAGGTGCCTCTCCAGGGCTGCCCAGTCCATGGCCGGGGGCTGCGGGTCCCGGGGGGGCCGCGCCCCTGCGCTCCGCCGCCCGCCGGGCCCCGCGGCCGCTCCGCGCCGC